CATCCCATATGATTAAGGATGCTTCTTTTAACAGATCAGCTAAATGTGTACCGTGTTTAATTGGACATGTCGATGTTGCATCCAGAATCAGAGGAATTTTGAATCTTGAATGTGTTGTGGATGCTTTGGGAAGAAGTGTTGCTGCGATACCTGATGATGCAACCAAAACAACTATTTTCCCCAAACTTCTAAGTCTTGCTGTAATTACATTATAGAGATATGTTTTGCATGTACCTCCGTGGCCGTATAAGAAGAATGCGCGGCCCATCTTGTTGTGTACTGAATTGATAACAGCTGAATACACATTGGTTTGCTCAACGTTCAGTGACTGTAACATTGTGGTGGCCAGTGCATGTTGCTGGTCTACATCGAAAGCAAGATGCTCGTTTATAAGTGGATCTCACCACTATCGCATAAACTATCTGATGGGAGTGGAAGATTAAAGTTCTCAAGAGTCATTGAGTGTGAGCTCAACATAGTCTGTAGTTGATGTAGAACCCAGTTCTGCAGTCGTTCGTCGCTAGGCCTCAGAGTCTGATCTCTGAAATCCTTTATTAAACTGTACGCATAATCTTCAGACATAGATTTCCAAGAAGAGATGAACAATGTTATCGGGCTTGGTATTTCACAGAACATCAGCATTGACACGAAAGTGCGTCAAATCACTCGTGGCATGCTAGAAGATGAGATATCTGCTAATACTCGTATCCATTCTGAAGAGTCTAATAAAAGGCCCAATGTTTCACAAGCTTTTTCAAAATCTGCACAAAGTTCTCCATTGACAGTCCTGAGCTGAGCATAACTAACAGCGCCGCGAATTTTTGTGAGCAGCATTCGGAGGAAGAAAACATCGCCAGAACCTGGTGGAACACATGCAATTCTGCCTATTGCGAATCCTTTCTTGCGAGGACTCCACTCTTTACAATCAGATAGCCAAGTGTAGTTGTTGGGTATCTGTGCATATGTCAGAATTCTTGCCTGGGGTCTCTACGATTAAGCGCAAACCATTCTGTTAAGTGCGTCCTACCTGCATAAGGATTCCCCAAAACATTTCGAACATTGGATTGCTTCTTATAAGGTATTTTTTGCTGACCATCCAAATGAACTCCCAAGCGCACAACTGCTGGCTCTCTTACATGTATTGGATACTCATTCAGCCTCCATATAGCTTCATAAGATGACAACGATCGGCAGTCAATGAATTGCTAAATTTCATCTCTGTATTTCACGGATTACACTTCTACATTATTGTGAGGTGCATCAGCATTTTCAACAATCACCAATGACATGTCTGGACCTTTTGTCACATATTTGAAAAGATATTTAATAAGTTTGCCTTTATGACATACCTCGACATTGATATGAGCCTGCATTCTCACCAACAAATTTCGGTTGTATGGAACAACATGTCGATTGTCGAGGACTGAACTGCCCTTTTGAACCTCTATGCCCGAGTTTGATCTTCTATAAACGACATTTCCGAATTTGTCAAATTACGTGGCTGAGTTAAACACTTTTGGGAATTGTTTGGAACATCTGCCGTTTGAGGATCGTTTTTTGTCTCGCATGCACGGTGCATTCGTGTTTGCTTAGCCGCATGGGCCATGTAACATATATTTGCAAACAGCCTCATACCCAACTGGATCTTGTTGAGGGTCAGGAATTTCAGCTGAGATAACCTCATCAATGTCAGCAGTTGTCCTCAGTTTATTCTCCTCGGCCAACCAAACCAGCAATTGTATGTGGGGCAGACCTTTTTTTTGGAACTCCACTGTATACATTACTGGCACAAAACAAAATCTGTTAAGAAGCCAAATATTCATATATGTGCATTGAAAGACAAATGATAGTCAACTCTGAAAAAAAATAAACTTCATTAAATGACCAGGCTGATCTTACTTGCAATCGCCTTCCCAAAGTAGGAGTTTTTCTTAATGTCATCAATCAGAATGCTGAGCTTAATGTGGAAAACCCTTGACACCATTGGTTTGTCCGAGCTACTTGGACCAACTATATCGTGAAAAGCTTCTGTGATTTCTTCCCACAACGAATTACACATAAATGTAATAAATAGATCCGGATTTCCAAAGAATTCAACCACCGCCATTGCATCGTGATATAATTGTTGCATATATCGTGGGCTACCTATATAAGTCCCTGGGAGGACAACATGACCCACTTTATCCCCGTCGAGATCACCCCGCGCCATTGCATCCTGTAAGCCTTGATAAACTTCAGCTCTAAGTTGTGGCTGATGGCAGCGCAGAAATGCCAGCCTATTTAACTCTATTGATGAATAGGCGTCAATACAAAAGTGCTGAAGAGCTTTTCCAGCTTGAACAATTGTATGGCCTTCATTGATGCGATATTAGAGCCTAAATGTGTAGTATTCACGCTGAGTAACAAATTGTCTGCGCATAGAAGGAGGACAGAAAGCTGACCTGTATTTGATAAGCGGATGATAACCATCCTCTCCATATGGAAATAAGAGCGGGAAATGCAATGCATCAAATTTTGGATTGAGACTTGTAATTCTCTTTAAACCTTCATAAATGTGATCAACAATGATATCTCGATCGTCCCTGTCTGGAATAAAATCGCCTGGTATGAGTGCTGCGATTTCAGTGCTGCTTGGAAAGTCGTATTGTCGATTTCTACTCTTAGCTCCAAAAATTCGAAGTTTCAAATTTGTCGTTGTAGAATCCTGCAACTGATGTCGAACTCGCCTGAATGTCTTGACAAGTTGATTGTTTTGATCCAGCATTTGTAGCAATAAAGTGAGTAATTCTGGCATAAGTAGAGCATCACGGGAAGCATAATTTGCCAAACGGTTGTCAATTTCATTCTCTGGTTCAAAAATATAAAGCTGGGCAAACTTTGGTTTTTCACCATCAGGAGGCAACAACGAACCAATCCTATGATTATTTTCTCCACATATTACCATTGAATAAGGCCCCCTTCCAGAGAGAGAGCGAGGGTCGATAGAAGCGCCAAATGATGTGAAACACAATGAACCATTATACGATCTAATGTTGTCCCTGAAATGCTTAGACATAGCGCCACCATCAAATCGCAGAAGTTCAGCCAACAAATGTGGAGGTTGTGCTAAGAGCGGCAAAACAACGCGGCCTTTTTGACAGCATAATGCATAAATTGGATTAGTCGTCGCTCGATGGCGGTCGAGCCTTTCCATATCCCAAAACAAAGCACCACAGTACTTACAAACACACTCTGGCTGACCAATCCTCATAATATCTTTGTGGAGTGGCTTTCTAGCCGTGGGAATATGCCTACCACAATGGAGTTTCGCCTAAATTCCGCCGATTCAAACAATCAGTTTTCTGACGGCTAGCTTGTGTTACTCGACCGATGCCTTCGTTACATTCATCCTCCATATCACGCATACCCTGTTCCTGAAAAAATATGGGTCGAGTTATATCTCTGGATCTCAATTGCTTCATATTCTGATAGCGCGTTTTCCTCGGCCGTGATGGACCTGATATGTATACAACAAACTTAAGAGTGGTAAGTTTACTACGGTCAGCGACCGATATGAACAAATGCTAGTAACGCATAATACAGGCATGGATATTTCATGCTCCAAACAGCAAACGTAGAATAATGTTTAACTTGATCACCAGCTGGCGATGGCGAAACTTGATGAAGATTCAATAATGACCCCCGCATGGTGCTCTGAGACACAGCAGATGTTTCCCCAAACACTGCTTAAGTAGTTGAAAGATCCTCTGATGGCTGTTTGGGAATTTCAATTCTAGCTCTTTTACGTGTTAAAGTCTGATATTGAGCTTTTCTTATTCTTGGAGGCATTGCCGCACAGTCTAGACAAAAGCATGCAAAAGAACAACGTCATTTATTGCTGGAACGCTTCACTAATAGAGCTGAGATGAAATTGGATATAATGAATCAATAACGGACATAATTGAAGATTCACTCTACCTTGAACAATAAAAAGCGTGGTGGTTGTGTAGATGACTGTCCAAATCGGCTGGCAAGCATAAGATACAAATGAGGAAGTCTTAGATGAAATATGAGACTGGGATGGGAGAAGTTCCCAGAGAAGTTGACACAACCCTTATGAAGAAGAAGACCTCCCTTAAAATGCATCATCATGGATATTTGAGATATGCAATCATATCTACCTATATTAAAATGTGTGATTATGGGTATCCGTGATATTAGATATGCATTAGTATATTGCTTTACCACTCCAAAAATATCTAACTTTGTGCTAAATTAATAAAATGAGAAAAAGCAATCATATTAGTTTAATCTTTGTATAGAAAGTGGCTTCATTACGGAGACAAAAGCGATTACGGAGGAAATTGCTCGAGCAATTTTCCATTTTGGAACATGTGCCTCAATTGGAATCCATAAATATTGGGATCCAACATAATTAACACATTCCTATTCCAATTGCTCATATATGTTCAAACGTGTGTTTTTAGGACTATCAATTCCACAAAATGTCGAACATGTTTTAACACATTTTGATAACTAAATCATAGAACAGGCTACTTCCTGTATAAAACGTGAGTTTGTTAGACTTTAAGAGGAAGAATCAACGAACATTTAGCAAAACAGGAGCATGGCTACGCTAAGAATGGACATACATTGTACCCGCAAAATGAAACAACCTATTTAAGCAACGATAAGTAGAAGTCATATTACATATAACATCTCACAAGGGAAAAAAACGCGGTTGCAATATTACAATAAGTTACCACGCAAAAGTCACATATAGCAACCAACACCACCTCAATACCGCCAAAAGAACTACTATCCGACAAAACATAGACGGCTACATAAATGAAAAGCACAGAGAATATACATCCTCTGATAACATCCATATAGGTGTAGACAGCACAATTTCGAGACCAGAATTCCCAAAACATGATTGTCCAAAAAAAGAGAATAATTTGCAAAAGCATAACGAAACACAATATCTCCTCGAACATAAGACAGCTACAATCCCGGAGATATCATCAAACACATCTTTAGTTCCTGCAGCAAACAACATGGAATAATAAGAATCATGACACGCACAAAAACTAACCTACAACACAAATGTTCTGAGAGAATAGGTTTAAACAACAGAGCTAGGAGTACCCTTGAAACCATGATCACTTCTTGAACAAACCACGCTTTGCCGCCGATTTTTTCTGACTATCCACCGAATCATCCCTTTCCATATCAACACCTGCCTGCGAGGAACCACCATGTTGCGCCTGAGCACTTTCGGCAGCATCCAATTTCTCCACCTTGATCTTGGCCAGTGGAGAAACCAACCTTGAAACAAATAGAGTTTTTCATTCTAAGAACGGGAGCAATAACACAAACATAAAACAGTAAAAAATTGACAATATAGAACATAAATACTCACGGCGATGCCGATGGTGACATGACGGTTGAACCTAAAGTCATTCCAGGAGATGACTCGGGGGATGGCTTTAAAACTTTCGCAGCTGGCATAGATGAGCCACGACCAACATCCTCGGGGCTCATAGACTCTTCAATCCTTGCTGATCGTCTGTGGATCATTGAAGCAGCAGATTGGACAGATGGTACAGCAGAATGAACAGCAGAGGACATCGCAGCAGGTGCAACAGCTCGGGTAGAGCCCACCTGTACACCCATCGCTAAAACCTGAGAAGCTCCAAGTACCCGTGACTCAGTATCAATATCTTCATTTCTGACATTTGCAGAAATAGGATTTCGAAAATCCTTGGCCTCATAACTGGGAAATCTACGAATTATAGTAACTGATTCAGGTGTCATCCTCGAACAACATCGCAAATTAGCAAAACAAACTTCGGGAACAACGCCAATACCTGCCAATCAGATATGGTTCATCAGTGATGCTAAACGGCATAGTCGGAGCTTCAATGAGAATAGAGTCTGAAACCTTTTCCTTTCCCTTCGAGGTCCTTGAGAACACATCACAAATATTTCACTTTAGACATGACAGACAGACCAAAGCAAAACACACAGAAACCAAAGCACCCAACACTGACCTCGATGAACCAGAGGGGCCCCCTATGATACTCGATGCGCGCATCATAGGAGCAGCCAACGGAGGGGGCGAAGAAAACTCAAGCAGATCACCCACCACAGTAGGATTATCAAGAGGAACCACTTGGGTCACACGGAATTCACCCGAGGAGAAACCAGTTGGTCCCGGCAACGACAACCTATAATCAAACTTGACATATTGCCCTCGTAACTGATGCAGTTGCGGGGGCAGCTGACCAGGACGATGGGGGAACCTCTGGGCCAAATGTGCAGCAGAAACGTTCACCGACGTAAGCGCACACACCCCCCCCCCCCATTAGGATAAAACGCGCCTCACAGGAGTCATCCCTTAGTGTAAGCTGGAGCTTGTAGCTGAGGGAAAAAGAACATTAGCAACAAAACTCACAACAGTCAACAAACATACAAAAAATGACACATGGTCATACTTGACGCGAGTTTGTTCCTCATCCAACTGCCAATCCTTTGGACACCAAAACATATTATCACGACGCTTCGAAACAGCCTTCGAACATAACTTGCATGAAATATAATACCAAGGTGTTTTTGACTCGACATCAACAATCACTCCACCACAGAGATACTTCTCTTCCTAACCAAAAAAAAAGGGCAAGTTACGTCCAAACACGGGGAAAATAATAGCAATAAACTTTTAGACGAATACGCAATACCAGTGAGGCATTTGTTCTGGATAACGCCAGCAGCTGACTCAAAGTCCTGGTTCGACGATCAGCATCAGCTGTAGCATCAGCGGCAGTAGCAAACTCTACCGGCAAGGATTCAACAAACTCATGTTTCTCAGCAAACCTAGTAGAGATCCAAGCACCATAACTTAGACAACATAGGAGCCTTGGCAAAAAACGGACTACACCAACAGTACACAGGAAATCGGCAACAACCCACAACTAACTTACCTAGATGCAAGAAAATAAGCCTTTGGTACAGGAGGATTGACTGATATGCGAGTAGCGGCAAAACTCGACAGAACATACTCATCTGAAAAGTAGAATAAAAGACGACAAAAACTATAACATACTAATAGACCACACTCAATCTAACGAAACCTTGCATGCAATAAGGAAGCAACAACATACCTCCCAGCTTATTAACCAGCAAGCCTCCAAATGCCAAAATCACAGCTTCAATCGAGTCAGCCTGGGTCAGAGCAACGTGATCCAACACCGCAGAAAAGTCATCCCAGAGCGTAATCGAGACCTTCGCTCCACTGAGAAAAGAAAGAGGGACATGTAAGAGAAACAAATAACAAACACGACAATCACAACTGAACCCATAAACACAGGAAAACGCAAAACACCTTTCATCCTCAACTATGACCGTCTGCTTGACTGCAGGCCCGTTATTTGTGATCTTGTGCGATATCCCGCTGATCGAACTGAGTCGGCCAACGACATCTATGAAAACAGTACAAAGGTAAAATCTTAGTAAACAAACAACAGATATATAAGCAAAGCAAATCTAACAAAAACAAACCTGCTAACCTGTCAAATAACGATGGTTACCGGCATGCATATTCAACTGAGAGAAAGCCACAAACTCGTAAGCATCAAGTGGGAAACTTTCAGCAGGCAGAACACAAGACTGAAAAGAAGCCGAAGGAGAAAGACCCAGAGCCAAATCAAAGGAACAGGCCCGATACTGATTCGGCGGATTGCTCAGGGCAAAAGTCTTTATGACGTATATCTTGCCAACCGAGAGATTATGACGAATCCCAGCAGCCATCGAAGTCGGTGAGACGCCCTGTATCAGCATACCCTGCGCAAAACACACCAGCATGCCGCATGAACAAAGCGAAGAGAGCACAGCAAACGTGGGCAAAAAAGAAAAGGCGGGAAGGACAGAAACTTAACCGTTTGTCGACCCAAAGAGTACAGTAATTGTAGATCCTAATGTCCCCCGGAGACTTCGCCGGCCACACATGCAGCAGTCGGAGCCGCAAAGAAACGTTGGCATTGCGAGGACCTCCGAGGTTACAAAGCAGCGTAAACTCCATGGTTTGGGAAAAGAAGAGCACCAAAGAGAGAGGAAACAATTTTTGATAAAGAAAACAAAATGACAGTAGGGAAGTTCCGACGCTACGAAAGATAAAAAAAAATGAAGGAAAGAATGAACACACGTGAAAGTACTACATGTCAGTTACCGGTCCAATGACGAAAGGAAACGTAAAAAATGGGAAACGGCACTGCGATTGACAAAAAGATAAGGACAACGTAAAATCAAGGAACTGCCAATGAAACCATAAAAAGCAACGAAGGATACCAGTCGCCGAAGCGGCGGTTGTCAGATATCAGGCCAAACACAAAGGAAACCGGTCCCCCCAGGCCAAAATGCAAAACGCTGTATATAAAATGGCGCGCCCATCATTGGCCGAAATCCAGGAAGACAAGAAACAAAGCCCACGTACAAGAGAGGAAAGCAAAGCAGTGCGTGTAATAATTATATATATGGGGCGGCCTCAGGGGAAATGATAGAAAGAAGCAGAAAACGTGTAACACCCTACCCTATACGTTTTGCCTAATCATGATGTTCATACAATTGCAGCAGAATTAAACTTGAGTGTTACATTAATTATCAAATTTTACCCAAATAAAATTTCGACATGAATTACTCGCGTAATGGGCTAACAGTTCTTGCAACTTATCCTGCAAAATAATTCATATGAATCTCTTCATTCGTAGACATACAATTATACTCATAACCTTATACATTGCTTCTCATAGCCATAGGCACAGTTTCATACTCCACAACTGCATACCTTACTAATACATGTCATAGTCGTCACAACTTACACAGTTACACAGCATATACACATATCATCAACTTTCAACACCTGTGGATATCTCACACTACATCAGAAGCTGGTATGCACATGAATAACGTTCTCAACCATTTTTACAAAAAGGTGTGGATCACTGGCCAAAATCCCGAGTAGTAGTCCAAGCACAGAATGGTTGAAGACCATACCTCATCTTGCCTTCAACTCTTGCTCAGCTTCCACCTATACACCTATCTACTGCTTCTGATGATCTGCTTACACATGGCATAAGCAGAGAAGAAGAATAAAAGAGGGTCAGCTCATAGCTGAGTGAGATAATCATAGCATCGTGAGTTCATAACATAGCATACCACTACCATACATCTAGCAAACAAGCCAAAGCACTAGGATCAGATCTCAGCCCTCCGACATCCCAATAGGCAAAAGACTCAACCACCTTGACTTATGCATATGCATCTTATTATGTTTTACTCATAGGCGCCTGGCTACTCCCATGCTAATAACTCTCCCGGGAAACATACCCCACATCCCGTCGGATGTAGTCATACATACCCCAACATCCCGTCGGATGTGGTCATACATACCCCACACCACTATGGGTGTAGTCATACCCCGACACCGCTCTGGGTGTGGTCATATCTCGTAAGAATTCTTCAGTCACCACCACATGAGAGGTGTGACTATCATACCTATCATAATAGAGTAATAGCATAGGGAGCCCTAATTACTATGTAGTTGACCGTGAGACCACAACACTCATATTTGGTATCCTTGTACATGATTCATATCTCATCTTGCTTAATCATAATTCATTACTTACACATGTACTTGACCTGGCCGTAATTGGCTCATCATAGATAAATCAGGAGTCGTATAATTGCAGTTCCTCGGGATAAACCCTCGTGCAAGTCATCCTCCTTAAACATCATAATATCACCCTGGGAAGTTTATTTCCCCCACTTGTGAATCCAAAAACAACCACAATATCACATCATGTCAAAACACCCGATCGAACAGCCATGAAGTCATATCAACGGTTAAGCCACAAATGGCAACATGTATGCAATCATCAACATAAACAAGGTTCATATCGGCTAGGGCAAGTCAATAATATCATACAACAATCCATGGTTCATCATATAGCATAAAAGTCCATACACCCCTAATCATGCCATTCTAGTTCACGTAGGTCAATTCTAAGCATCAATATAATTATCGTGATACGACAAACCCGGTATGCCGTGCTAATCCCTCACCAGTTCTGGTCGTTCAAACACCGGTTTAACCATCCCGTACTAAAACGTCAATTTCACAAACAAACCCTGAATTAAAATCCGAGACCGTCCTAATATCCCCTGCAGTATCCCCGTCAATATTAGTTCTAGGCTCCGGGTGAAATTCTTGATAAAAACACATCAAACCCTGGCCGGAGCTAAATCCAGCGGTTCCGGATCCGACCTAAATAATAGCTGAAATTCAGGGATTAGAACTAGAGGATTGATTACCTCGCTGCAGGAAGCTCGTATATGAAATTTGGGCTCAATCCGGCTTCCAAATACTCCGAAACCCTAATTTGGCTTATCGGGAATTCAAGAAATTCCTGAACCAAAAACTCGTTTTAAAGTTCTAAATCGATAAATCACGATGTATAGATGAATTAGGCATTACTTACGGGATTTTTGGATTGCTAAAGCTCAAGAATCGAGCTCGGAGAATTTCCTGCTCTCTCCCCTGCCCGCCCTGTTTCTCAAACTATCTCTCGGTTCTTTCTCGGTGGAGAAATGGGAAAAAAGTTGATGATGATGGGTATAAATGACGGGTGGGGATTAATATATATGCGGCCGCTATGTATATATATATATATATATATATATATATATAATAAAGTATGGGTCAGACTCGTATGCTCCTGACACATAGTATATGTCAGGTCCTCCACATCGTTGATCTAATTTGATGGTGTTGATTAATTCTAATTAATTTTTTTTATTTTACAATATATAAATAATTAATTGGTTATATTACTTCTTTAGACGTACTCTTGCATAAATTTTCATATAATTTCATATTCACGTACCTACTTTTCTTTTAATTATCACTCGAACACCCGACTTTTGTAAATGTATCTCCATCAAGCTACTTAATTTTTCATCTGTTGGTACTTGGTAGATGTAATCCCAGATCCATCGTAACAACTCCACATCCTCTTTACGGCTTTACCTCTTGTCGTTCATCGGGTACGAACTACGAACCCTCTCCTCTCTTCCTTTGGTTATCGAATCAATTCTCCTCCCAAGCCGTCTTCAATCGCCAAGCACTGGATTAAGGGAATGAATCGTGGGTTGTAGAGGTGGATGAGGAAGGGCTGATCGAAAGCTGAACTTTTACAATCCGAACGTCTCTGGACGAAATCGATGGGGATAGCGAGTATAGGCGAAGAAAATTTATACTAGAAACGCATGAAGACGAAATTGATGGACATGGCGGTGGGGACGCGAGGTCACACATGAGGAAGGGTAATCGAAAATTGTTGATGGAGAATTTAGATTGGTAGCCTCCTGTGCCTCCCTCAACGATGATTTCATCGTTTTCATAAGCTCCGTCTCCCATTCTGCATGCAGTCGCCGGAATCCAGTCCAAGTTCTTGCTTATGCGAATCGACGAAACTGGTTCTTTAATTTAAAATGGGTTATCGCCGGCGATGGATGCCGGTGACCCTTTCATAGGTTCCATAGAAAGCATAGGTCGATATGTTGAAGCATATATCAGAAGCAAGAGAAGAAAAACTACAAACAAGGGGATACCCCAAATTAGATTGGCATTCCCAGCAACTTGAAAAATGCTACTGCTACTGCTCTTTGTCTGTGGTTCCCTCCTCTACGCTGCTCTGCTCTTCAAATTCATCACCGGCACCGCTGAAGGTAATCATTTGCTTTATTACCTATTTCAGCTCTTGGCCTTCTTTTGCTGCTTACCCTGGCGGGATTGCCCACATCATGAAATTGGCCTCATCTAAAAGTCTTCTTTTCATCTTTGTGTTATAGAAGATTTCACTTTGACGTCAAAGGAGGTGTCAATTGCGAAGAGATTGAAGATAAGGTATTCTATGTTGGTGTCCTACTGTTGGTCTCCATTTTAGGTGGTTCTCTGGCCAAACAATTTTGTGAGTTTGGGTGCCAAGCTTGTTCTGTTAGGTCAAAATGAGACTGAAGTGGAGCGAGTTAAGAACTTAAGAAGCAACTTACGAGTTACGGCTGTGGTCATCCATTTTCATTCCCTCCAGCTCTGCCCCTTCTGCTTCCAGCGGATTGAGAGATACAGGGGAAGTGATTCAGGTTAGCAACTCTTTCTCTGTCACTTGTTCTCTTCGTGGTCTTCCGTTGTAGGATTCGACGGATATGGATAATTCCTTAGGGTTTAAGATTTCTTTGTTACTTTTGCTGTGACTCTTATCTCTGCTGACTTCCTTCCAAGCTACGTATTCTACTTTTCCCACTTGGTCGCGCGGCTGAAATTCGATGAAGTGAAAAACTATCGGTGAAATCTTATCTGTGTACTGAATTTCGAATATATCTTGTGCTTCGAATTAGCCGGCTCTGTTACTTGCTTAATTTGCTTTTCATTGAATTTTCAGCACGAATCAGTGTTCACCTATCTCGTGGATTGTTGTTGTGCTGCGTCAATTGATTGCTATTGTCCTAGTCTGTTCCTAGTCTTTCTCCCGGAGAAAGTGATGTTTATTTTTTCCAATTCCCGAATTTGAGGTGTCAAAATCCTGTTCTATGATATCTGAATTATGATACTCTAGATGCATTGGAATAATAAGGTCGACATAGATTGGTGAGCTGCTGGCCTGACTGAGATGCTTTTTTGTTTTTGTTTTAGTAATTAGCTTGCTCGTGGTCACAAACATATTTCTTAGATATCACTGTGAAACATATGATTTATCATAAAATTATGAAGTAGCTATTTGTATTAGATTTGATGGTGGCATGTGGGTTTGCTTATGTATGAGGTCCTCAGATAATCTGGCAGGCTATGATGTCGGGGTAAGAGATCTTGTTGTGTAATGATATTTGTTTTACAATTGAATGAAAAGTTTTATTTTCTAATGATTACTTTGTTCCATCTTGTGTACATAGCCATGTGGCGATGTGGATCTAATGAGGCTAGCTCTGGACATGGTTGGTGCGCTCCAGAATGATAAGATGGAGAAAATGATTCGACGTGCTCATAAACACTCGACTACAGGGGAAAACATGATTCTCAAAGACATGGCTGCCATGCATGGAGATGCATATGTTTAAGTTATTTTGGTTTTTCCGTTTTTTGTTGAATTAGTTAAGTTTGCAGTTTGGGAATTCTTGATGTATATGTTTAGATCCATATATTTGTTATTTTGGTAGATTGTTCATTGTTCAGTTTGAGAACAAACTAGTTCTATTTATGCTAAACCTCAAGTAATTTAGGCGAAGTGTGCAATTGAATTACATTTCACATCTCTTCCATTTAGGTTGTTGCGTTCATCCAGAATCCAGCTTGAATAGCAGCTTCTGTGATAGTACAGTTTTGGCGTAATAGACTGTTAATTGTTAGAAGTGAAGTAGTTCAATTGATGAGGTCTCAGGCCTTCTACTGAACTTTCTATTGTTTGCTTGTTCAGATTTGTTTGCTCAGCTTTTTGCTTCACTCTTAGAGCTTGATGGTTAGAAATGAGGTCGTTTTTGCCATTTCAGTTTTGGTTCTTTTTCCATCATGGAATATGTTATTGATAAGCCCCAATCCGCGAGGCTTGTTGAACACAGCTTGGAAATCAGATTTCTAAGCCAGAAAACAGAGTAACAGGGGAATAGAAGGATGGTTCGGAGTGCAACTTCAACACCACGCGCGGGGAAGAGGCTCAACCGAATTCAAGGTAGCAACCCGACCACAATTGAGGTGATGACTCAATCGATACAAGGCTCGCTCGTTGTTGGCGATTTGAACCAAGCAACAAGGACAATCCATGAGTTAAAAACTCAATGAACAAGTTCTTAATTGATTAACGTCTAACCATTACAATGGAGTTTGTAGGTCTTTAAATAAGCAAACTAAAACCTAATTCGAGTACAAAACAAACAAGGAAAGCTAATTAATCCTACTACGCCTAAAGGTAACAAACCCAAACAGAAAAGGAATCCCAACTCGTCCATAAAACCCAAAACTTGTAGCTCACGTAAGCTACCTCCAAAACAGGTTCCATAGCAACTTTGACCCCCACGTTCACATGCCTCCAGGTCTCCATCTCCTTAGCCAATACCTTGCCTCTGTAGACAAACAAACACACTTTCATGTGGTACAAAGATCCTTCCCTGATTCGAACCCATCTTCCCTGAATGGAGCTCCAAAGTGACCTTCCTGACCATGCCTTCAGACTTGGCCAAATTCTGGCAGTTTGACAGTTTTGAGACAGCTATTTTGAGGCCTTAAAATACAGCCTTAACGATCTTGTATGAACCCGAATCCCATGCCATCTTGTAGAGGAAGTGTTTATCTTCAAAACAACACCTTAACCTTGAATTTCTATCAACCCAATTGGAAGGTTCGGGCTCGCAAAGTCGGCTACCTGAACTCATCATAATACTTAGCCAAAAATTCAGATTGTGCAAATGAGTTAGCTTTGCTTCTTGAACGAACAATTCTAACTTGGAAGGGAAGCAATCCAAGCTCATATCAGTTATCAAGTACCATTACAACATAGCTTAATTATTAAAAGTACTCCAAAAACATTGTTGACACAGTTAAGGCGCATAAGGTATGGTACATTTACAATCAGGTTTACAATAGCAGGGAAAAAAAGTGTAGCAGAAGTAGAAAAACAAAGAGAAACGAAAATGTAGAGTTGTTAATGGTGATATTTCCTTCAATGTAGCCACTCGTTTTCCTTCCAGCAAGCACATCAATAAGAGGGGTTTTACCAGCACCACTAACTCTTATAAGAGCTGTCAGAACACCTGGTCTGAAAGCACCACTAATACCCTTCAGAAGCACCAGTTTATCTTCAGCAACACCTTGGCCTTTCATTTCCCGGAGGCCAAAGATAAACGAAAATGGTTGGTTAATCTTTGATCCCAAATGATAACAACAAATCCTATATGCTTTTTCAATGATAACTACTTCTATTGTAACTAACTAACCTCTGGCATGAAAACAGAGTATACAATGTCGTCAAAAGTGATGGAATGAGGCTCAAATGGAAGAACCATCCCTTTCTTCTTGCTTCTTGTGGCTTGATCATCTGCAGCAGCGGTTATGGAGGAACCACCAGTTGACATCTCAATGGTTCCTGCTGAATTGGTGGCTTCATCTTCAGGTATGATGACCTGTGGCTTCTGAAACTCTGTTCATTTTAACATATCAAAACATAATTTAGCAAACAAAAGGTTTCTTGCTCTAGAAGCATGAACTTGAACAACGAATATTTGGGTGGGGTTTACTTATGGTCCAAGAAAGTAAGAGCGAAAGCAAAAACAAACTTCCATCCCTATGATCTGTGTAGGTGGGGGTTACTTATGGTCCAAGAAACTGTCTCTAGGTGCATTTGTTAGTTATGAATTGTTAAAAGAGCACTATGTTACCTTCAGAACTTAGTCCATAACCACATTGCTTTCCAGACCTGTTGCAGCAGCCTAATAGTACAAGAACATGACAAAAGAAAGGACAAGTATCAATCTACTGTGGATTCCAAAATAACAAATAGATATTAGTGGCGGCTAAATACAAAGTAGAATGAATCATCATTCCAATGGATTGAAAGTAACATAAACAAATCTCAAATTAACATTATCGCTACGATAATGAAGCCGCCATGACCCACCTTCATGCCGACATCGATATCAGGATCATGTTTAATATTTGCTGCATTTTCTCTTCTCGACAACTCAGCCATCATATCTACAGGTTTTCCCACAGTAATATTGACTTAGCAAGCATCCATGTTTGAATTTCAAACAAATCCATAATCAGAAGAAGAGAACAAAAGAGTACTGGAAAACCGGGAAATAGTTCTTGAGACTGAAGAGAGAATGAGAATCAATCATGGATTCCAGAAGAACAGGAATTTCACCTGCTCATCGGTTGTCTTAGGCAAAGGCGATCCACCACCAATAGCAGCATACCCTTCTTTGCTTTTAGGTTCTCGGACAACAGAAATTAACTGTGCCAATGGCTTCTGAAGAAATTGGAATGTCCTATGTAAACGGATGATATCCTGTAGCGAGAAATTGGAAGTAGGGTTAATAAAAAACCTGAAGATGGTGCATAAGGCCACTAACAAGCAATGAGAAAGGCGGGAAATGGCCATACTGGATCGGCAAACAAATAACAGGAATGGCTAAACATCATGAAGCGTTCCTGGGCATCCAAGGTTCAGAAGTAGCACACCGATTTTCTCTTCAGCAGTTTGCGATCGACTATGAGGGGAAGAAGTCTTATCGAACAGGCGGATCCCTACAGAAGGAGCAGTGGATTGGGCAACAACATTTCTCCTCCGATCTTCGAGTGACTCGTTATGCGAGATGCATACGCCATATATATCTGTGGAATTTCGAACATAGGATATATCTTATCCCCAACCCCAATGCCTTAAATATCTGCCTAATTCCCAACCACAAAGCCAAAGACCTAATCAATCACAAGCTTCAGAATTCACAGAGAACACACAATTGACCGGAGATTCCAACTTTACCGTCCAATTTCAATTTGAATAGCTCATTCTTCATCGTCATTGTGTTGTACAGCCACAGGTCCGCAGGAGGACTGGCTGAGCCGTCGCCCCTGGTTTCCCCAGAATTGTTCGTGCTGAGCACAGGAAGGGAAGAAGTGTCCAGTCATGTCCTGATTTCAAAAGGAAATCAAAGAAACGAGACGAAACAAAAAATATGGAAGTTCCTGCTATCAGATACCAAACGTTCAATCACCCTTACCGAAACCATAAATCTCGAGCTCCTCGTCATAATCGTCGAGCACATCGAGCGCAATCTTGTTGAGGTTTTGCTTGAAACTTTCAATCGAGCTCCCGTCGTTCCAAAAACAGGGGAAGAAAGAAGAATACGGACGCGGCCACACTTTCGAGTTTCGACCGTCGGCCAAGTCGACCAGATTCAAATCCCTCCAAATCGACCAGATTCGTCAACTCCCCTTTTCAGATTGACTACATGCAATAGAGAAGGGAGATGAAAGAATTAGGATTTTTTTTGTTGTTATTGTGGAAAAAGGAATGATTCAGCTGCAGTTGAAAAGAGACGTCAAACGTTTTTGGCGGACAATAATAAGGTTTCTGAAAAAATAAGAGGAAAAATTGTGCTTTTTAATTTTTTTTCTCCCGCAATTTTTTTAACTGTAACGAAAATCTAGAGGGAAACTTGTATGTATTTAATCCCATTTAATTTCGTTTATATTGATATGGTATGTAAATTATATCTAGCTCAAGTTATTTAATAGTAAATACTAAATAGTATCCTACAAATTTATTATATATGATTATCCTTTCAAATTTTAAATTACACATTTTTATCACATAGTAAAGTTATATAAAATAGTATCTATTAAATATTACAAAAAAAACATAAAATAATTGTCCTCCATTCTAAAAACAACATTTTACAAGATTAATTTAGGGGTAGTTTGGATGAGGAATTGTAACGAATCAATTTGGCACAATTGTCTTGTTTTGAGACAATTGTACCAAATTGCCTCGTTTGCCAGCAAAAAATTTGATTGAATCAATCTGTCTGAGGTATTTTTAATTGATCCATTTTGACTCAATTTCAAATACCTGAGGTGGGGGCAGGAAATTCGAATTAACTCGTTTTAATTGCCTCGTTTATAAAACGAGACAATTGATCAAATTGACTCATTTCTAAATTGATCCATCCAAATATATGTTATTCGTGTTCCAAAATGAATAACATTTTGTCTCTTACATGGGGAGATATTAGGGTTACTTACATGGTTGGTCACTGAAATTACTAAATGTTCAGATTTGGTCACTAAAAATATATAATTCCGTTCGTTGTCACTAAAATTAATCAAACGGTTCAAGTTTGGTCACTCTCCGTTACCTTCCGTCAATCTCCGTTAAAGTCGTCAGTTTTTTGCTAACATGGCTAACAGAAGTGCCTAATAAGCTAATTTTAACCCACAAAAAATAAAATCTGGCCCACCACCTCATTAAAACCAACCACATAAGAAACCAACCCAATCCAACCCAACCATTGACCCGACCCTTCCTCTTCTTCCTCCTGTTGACAACCCTTTGATCTGAATT